GACTCCAACTCAAAAAAAAAAAAAAAAAAAAATTAGTCAGACATGATGGTATGCGCCTATAGTCCCAGTTACTCAGGAGACTGATATGAAACCATCGGCTGAGCCCAGAATGTTGAGGCTGCAGTGAACCTTGATCTGTCACTGCACTCAAGCCTGGGCAACAAAGTGAGACTCCAACTCAAAAAGAAAGAAAAAGAATGTATATGTATGTGTGTGTGTGTGTATATCTACATATATATGTGTATATACACACACACGTTTTGTTGTTGTTAAACTCAATTTGGGTTTGAAATCATATTTGATTCATAAAAGGTATGGAGTAATATGTAGTATCACCCTATTCTATCCTTGAAGTGGTTTATATAAATGTGGCTGTTATTTGCCCTATGGGAGATCTGAATAAAGAAGAGGAAGGGAGGGAGGAAGGAGGCTCCTGGGTGATGCCTCTAGAGCTAAGATGTGTGTGCAGGGGGCAGAGACAATGACTAGGTGAATCTTTAGAAAGAGTGAATTCTTTAGAGAGAGTGGGACATGAAAAGATGACAGGGGTTGGAGGGCAAGACTAAAACCACCAAGGGGTGGGGTTGCAGCTCGGGTGGAGGATATCTGAAACAAACAAAGGCTGGCAACACTCATATGGCCACACTGTTTTCCACCAGGCTGGGCCGCAGGTACTCGTAGGGCAGGTCCAACTTTGCATTCCGGATCTCGATTTCCTTATCCAGGGCAGCCAGCTCCTCCCTGAACTTCTTCAGCACAGCCTTAGGCCCCGGCCCCGAAAAATACTCCTCCTCATGCTGGCCCAGAGCCACCTAGGATGGAGAGAAAAAGGCAGTGAGAACCTTAAGATCCCCGGTTTGGAGAACCACCCCTCGCAACTGTCTTCTTCCTGAAGGTCCCACGCGATTGGCTCTCACCATAATGGGCTGGCGTCGGCCTAGCTGCCAAGTGATGGACATCTGGAGAGAAGCCTGATGAAAGTTGGGCAGTGTTGCCATCACGGTCTCCAGCGTTGCATCCTTGGTGGTTGGCGGGGGCAGCCGCATTGTGCAGGGTGCATTAGGGACCCAAGAATACCAATCCAGCTGAGGAAGGACAGGGATCAACGTCTGTTAAGCATGAAAATCCCTCAGCCCACTTGCACACAGCACCCCTCTCACTCCAGGCCACTAATTCCCAGCTGCCACCCTCTGGTAAGTACCTGGCCCAGGTGGATGGAGGAGTGTTGACCAGTGCAGGTGAAGATGCACATGGTGACAAAGTGACAAGCCTGGTCCCGAGACAGTAAAGAGACAGGAAACCCTGCAAGGGGTGAGGAGAGTTAGAAACTATGAGGTCAGAGAATGAGGCAGAGCTCAGAGGATGAGGCAGAAGAAGAAAACAAGAGGGGTAAAAGGGGATGCCAGCAACACTCAGTAACTCTTACGGAAATTAACATGAGAGTGGGTGGGGGTGGGGAGAATGGGGAGCTCTGCTGGGAGGGTCATTCTCAATGGGGTGCCAGTCCTAGCTACCAGTTCCCAGGAGTCAATGAGGCTAGCTTTTCAGGTGTTTAGCAAGCTGGTCAACAGCACGTTGGTAGCCACAGTGGGAATATTTACACCATGGAAATGGGCAATGCTACAAATCAGGCCTTTTTTTTCCCTAGAGAGACGATTGTTAAACATGTATGAGCAACCACTGATTCCAATGAATCTGGGTGCCAAGGGGTTCTCAGTGTGTAGAATGGGGACCTGTCTTTAGCCAAGAAGGAACGGAATCTGGGAAGGCCTTTGGAGTTTTCGTAGGTGTTGGAAATGCCTCTGGAAGATTCTATAGAAGTAGAGAGGATTCTGGGGAGCTCTCTTGTGTTTTGTGTCTGAGATCTCAGGGTAGGGCTTCTTCTTACCTCGGTCCTGGGCCCCTAGCAGCCCAATTTCAGTGATCTCTCTACACCAGGTCTGCAGTTCAGGGTCATCTTTCACAGCTGCGTCTGTCTCGTAGTGGAGATTCACAATTCCCTCCACATACCTGCCAGCCAAGGGGTCAAGGCCAGAGAGCTGAAGTCAACTCTGCTCCTACTCACATGACTAGGTCAGGGCCCCAGCCCCCAACCAAGACACAGACATCCTGTTCTCTTAGCCTTCTCTCCACCCCACCCCCACCCCCACAGGCCCTCTCTTCCTGCTTGCCTCACCGATAGATGATTTTCCAGAGCTGCAGCGCATCTTGGGCATAGTAGGAAGACTTGACTCCCAGGAGTCCCCGGTCAGCCAAGTCATCAGGGGGACAGAATGAGCTATAGGTTAGAAAGGCTCCAGCTCGCTTGAGCAGCTCCACATGGCCTCCACCACCTGTGCTCACCACCTGGAAAGCAAGGACCGGCAAGGTCAGGTGAATTAAACTGCCCTGAGGCCAGAGCAAAAAAAGAGTAAAGCCCAGAATCTCCCTTCCTCTCTCCAAACCTGGTCGAAAACTCCGAAGTCGGAGACCAGCCCCGTCCTGGCCCGGATGTTAATTTCCATGGTGTATCGCAGATGAGGAATTACAAGCTAGAGGGAGAAAAGCACAGGAGGGCAAAGTCAGAAGAGAGCTGTGGTGGTCCCTGCAAGAAACAGGGGCTGAAAAACAGGAAAGGCACCAGGTCTTCAAGAAAAGCAGACTTGAAGTTTAGTGGCCCCTCAACAATAAGAGCTCTCAGTTGATTTACATCACCTAACTCATTCCACAACCATTGACTTAGCACTTTATGATAACTGAACAAAATCATTCTCCTTTTCATATTTTTTCCAAAGGTCTAGACCAAGGCTTCTTGCTTTTTTTTCTATTATCACCCTCTAAGGAGCCTTTGGAGACATTTTTTCCTAATCTCACCACCCACCCTATGAAATTTTAGTGCTATATATATACTGTATATACACACACACACACATATATATATCTGTTTGTAAACTCATTATATCTGTCCTTTTTACATAAAAATAAGATTTTTCACCATCACCTCCCATTGCCCTTATTGAAAATGGATGGTCAGGCCAGGTGTGGTAGCTTATGCCTGTAATCCCAGCAATCTCGCCCTGAGGCGAGAGGATTGCCTGAGTCCAGGGGTTCAAGACCAACCTGAGCAACATGGCGAGACCTCGTCTCTACAATAAATAAAAAAATCAGCCGGGCATGGTGGCACATGTCTGTGTTTCCAGCTACTTGGAAGGCTGAGATGGAAGAATCACCTGAGCACAGCAGGACTGAGGCTGCGGTGGCCATAAGCGTGCCACTGCCCTCCAGCCTGGGTGACAAAGTGAGACTCCAACTCAAAAAAAAAAAAAAAGAAAAGAAAAGAAAGAAAATGGATGGTTTAACCACTGCCTGCCTCCTGAACCTCATCTCCTGCCTCTTCCCTCCACTCATTACACTCACCTTCTTTCTGTTCTTCAAATAAGCTTATTCCCGCCTCAGAGTCTGCGTGAGCTAGAACACCACACCCCCTTGATCATCTCTCGGCTGGCTTCTCACAGTCCCATTCTATATCATCTCCTCAAAGGAGCCTTTTCAAACCACCCGATCTAAACTTGCCACCGCATCATCCTACTCTGAGTCTCTGCATCATACTTATCCCAGCTGATGTATTACAATGCAATTTGTAGTGTCTGTTCGCCCTTACCGGAATTGAAAATCCCAAAAGATCAGGACCTTGACTGTCCTGCTTACCATTAGTATCTAGAATGGTTCTGGCCCCACAGGAGACACCCAATAAATGTTTTTAATGGGTTAATATTTTGCTTTCATTGTCCGTAGTAAACTAAGTTGCTGTTGTTGGCCTGAGTGCCTCTAACTGGCCTATGTCACTATTTTTTTTGAGTCGGAGTCTCACTCTGTCACCCAGTCTAGAGCCCAGTGGAATGCAGACTCACGGCCACTCCAGTGTTGACCTGCTGGGCTCTGGCAATCCTTCCGCCTCAGCCCTCCAAGCAGCTAGAACTACAGGCACGCTCTACCATGCCTGGCTAATTTTTTTCATTTACTGTAGAGACGAGGTCTCACTAAGTTGTCCGGGCTGGTCTCAAAACCGTGGGCTAAGGCAATCTACTCGCCTCGACCTCCCAAAGTGCTGGGATTACAGGCTGAGCCACCAAGCCCAGCCTATGTCACTATTTTAGAACTCTTCAAATACTGGCAGGAAAAAGTATTTTATGTTATTTGCATGGACGCCTCTCTTGGATGAAATCTTCAGTCATTTGCATCTACTGTTTATGTACTGAGCTTTATACATAAAGAAAGCAAAATTTTTTCACCCCTTTTCCCCGAGAATAATTTTTACCCCCCTTGGAAGGTGATATCACCCACTGAAAATGCACAGGAATCCATGTGTGCACTCCCTCACTCTCTTATCTTCCATTCCTTGGTTCTCTCCATACCCTGAGAGTCCATAGACAGGGACTCTCCAGAGGTGGGAATGTGCCCTGGGGCGGGGGGGTGGGGCAGGAGAGAAGGGAATAAGAAGTTACCTTGAAGATAGGATGTATCGATGGAAGGCACCTCATGGTAGCCACAGCAAAGACCTCAGCCATCAAGTGACCCCTCAACAGATGAGACTGGAGCTCATGAAGCTGGAAGTCAGAGCTACGGACCCAGCATTTGGCCAGAAGCCAGACCATTGGGGGATCCGTGGGCAGGAAAAGCGGAGGTGGTGGGGATCCTGGGCTCGGCAGTTGGAGCTGGAGCAGGAACAAGAAGTTTGGGGAAAGAATGGATGAGACCCAAACGCCCAACAATCTCCCCCCTTTGGATAATTAACTTCTCCCTTTGTCCGTCAAATGTGCTTAGTTTTCTCTGTCTCACTGCTGCCACCTCTCTACAGCTGCCATTTCTTCCTCTCCTTTTCCTACCCATTCGGTGTGTTAACAGTGTACAAGCTGCTCTGCCCTCGTCCTTCTGCAGCAACTGCTCTTCTACTGCTTTCTTCAGCCTCCACTTCCCCTTTCAGTCCCCTCAACGTGGACAAGATTCAAACTGCCTGCTTCCTTCATCCCACACTGTTTCTGAAAATAGTCTCTCTCCAATCTTTCAACACTACCTCTACACAAACGACTAAGTCTCTAGTTCTCAGCTGCCTGCTAGACAACTTAAATGTCTCCCCATCACCTCAACATCCCCAAGATAAAAGCCTACCTCATCGTGTCCTCTTCATTTGTCCTGTTTCTGCAGGCACCAGATCTGACTCCTCCCTTTCATCTCTCCTTGAGTTTCCCTCTGTACTTGCATCTATCTGACCTCTCCGGCCCTGTGGTCACTACCCACATCTGAGCCCATCACCTCCCCTTCAGGCAAGCGCTGGAGCATGTCAGCCTAATCCCTGTGTCTAGAATCTCCACTCTCCAATCCATCCTAAACACAATTGCCTGCACAACATGCCCTCAGCACCTTCCACAACAGCATTGGCCACTTTCCCATGTCACACTCCTTAGCTTGACTTAGTCTGGCCCCTCTCACCTCACATTATTCCACAACACTCCAGTCCCACTGTCCCCAAGGAATCTCCTGACTCCTCCACCACAGTCTCTCTTCCCAACCCATCTTGCCCCTGGGGACAGGTCCTTCCCCTCCCTCCTGTTTGTCTAAGACCTGACCTTCCTCAAAGGTTCATGACATTCACCCCTCCCGATCCCTCCCAGTCCTCAGGGACTTCCTGAGGATTGGAGCTTTTCAGACTTGCCCAGTCTGCTCTCCAGTCAGATGGCAAACCCCTTAAAATCAAAGACTTTGCCCATTCCTCCATTAAAGTTTCCTCCAGTAGCTTAGTACAATGCCTTTGCAGATAGTGGGCACTCAGGGAATTTGGATTAGAGCTGAGCAGAGAAGGCTAACCACTGGGGTACGGAAATCCTGAGTCCTCTCACCTGGATGACCATGGGCAAGAGTTTCCCATCAGGCTGCAGCTTCAGCATGACCAGAGGGGCAGCCAGGTGCTGCTGGCTACACAAGATGACATTAGCCTTGATCCCATTCAGCAGGGAGAAGTCCGCTTCAAACAGCGTGCCTCCCTGGATGGGGAAAGAAGGCAAGGGCTGCTATCAGCAGAAGGCATCTTCCTCCTACTCTTTCTCCACAGGGAGAAGAGAGAGAAGGGAACTAATTTGCTTCCATCTCCTACTTTGGACCAGATAATGGATCACATGCTTATTACCTCATAGAATTCTTATTCATAGTTGAACTAGCCTGTTTTACAGAAAAGGAAAAAGGGTCACACAGCAAAGCCACGGTTCAAATCCAAGTCTGCCTGACCCTACAATCTCATAAATTTTCTCTTAAGTGTTCCATGTTGACTCCTGATTACACAGTCACACCCCTCTAACTCTGATTTCTTACTCTGCACCCTCCCTGAATCCTTAGCATCAAGGACCAGTTACATTTCCTCATTTTGCCTCTGTTTCTAGCAACCATACCATCTTGCACACCCTCCCTCCACAGTATACTACAGTAAGTCCCTTACATTCAAACCTTCAAGTTGTGAGCTTTCAAAGATGCAAATGTACGCAAGTGTTAGTTCACGTGTCTGACATACATTGTCACACGTGTGCATCTTCAACAAGTGTTTGTGCTTTTGTGTACTTTACTGTACAGTACTGTATAGAGTACAGTATCTTTATTTGAAGCTCAGGATGTCTGGAATCAAGCATAAAAGCAGCAGTGGCATAGCTGGTACTGTATAGCTGATTGTGTTGGGTACCTAGGCTAACTTTGTTGAACTTACCAACAAACTGGACTTGTTCGTATGTCGGGGTCTGACTGTATTCTCAGATGGAGAGGAAGGCCATATGGCTGAAATTCTCCAGGGCATTGAGGATTTTCCTTCTTGCTGAGTGCAGCAAACTTGGCCCACAATAGATCCCATAGCAGTACAGTGGATGCTGCCCCCACCCCTATTTCGCCGTTCAGCCTCCTTAGGGCTCTGATGTTCATACCTTCAGCTCCTTTTCCAGTTGAGCCTGCAGTTCCTCCATCCCTGGAGGGAACACCAAGCGGCCAGGAAGGCAAGTAGAGCGCCTCAGCAGCATGGGGTTGCTGCCATTGAGAAACTGGTAGCCAAATAAGGCATCCTCCTTCCAGGAGTCTCGCACTCGCTCTGGGGAAGATAGCTGTTGAGCATGCTGTGGAATCTGAGCTCTTGGTCCTTCCAACCCCCACCAAACCATTCCCATTTGACCCCAGTCTCCCAGAGGGACCCAAAGTCTCTGGTCTCCCTACCCTGGTTCTTTCTATTCCCCCAGATTGGGTGGGATCTGAGGGTAAGGGTCCTGGGATAAGTACTGGGGCTGGGGGACTGACCAGCCAGTTTGCTCTGGCCACACCAGAAAATCCGGTTGAAGTCATCCAGATCATTCCAGCAAGTGAGAACATTTAAAGAGTCTTTGATAGCAAGGTCTGCCAGCCTTCAGGGAAGGATAGAGCAAAGAGTTTGAGCATTACTCTGAGAATGAAACATTAAAACCCCAAGCACCTATCTTGGGTCCAGCCGGGTGCAGCCCATAAGCCCATTGGCCTCCACTAAATCAGGACACTTCCCTCTCACCCAGCCCTAATTGCTCTTACCCCTTGGCCAGTGAGGCCTCAAAGTCAATTCTCTTGTCCTCCAGAAATCGCTCATCTACAGGGAGATCAGCTAATTTGGTCCCAGACACATTCAGGATTAATCCATCCTTCCAGTTACCCCACCTGTTGGGTAGAAATGAAATCAGGCATTAGTCATCCAAAAGGTCAACAGCTCACGGTGGGGTCAGGGGAGTAGAGCTAACCGATATAGCTTCCTTCTCTCTTCCAGCTCCTCTTCCCTGTACTTCTTGAACAGACCTTGAGGGTCGTCGACCACCGTGCGGCCTAGAAGTACAGAGAAGGGCTTGGGCAGTGACTTTTCCTGAGAGCCTCTCCCCTGTCCCTACCAAGAGGGCCTCCTGGGCACGTCCTTCTGTCTGGCCCCTCCCCCAGCCTCCATGCCACTCTGTTCCAGCTCAAACAACCTGCCTCTTCAACAACTCCCAAAGGCCCCCCGCCGCCCAGGTTCCAGCCCCACATCCACGTCCTGCGTTCTCTTCTTCACACAGGCACGCCTGCCCCTTCCACCCCGCCCCCCAGTGGCCTCCTCACCTCCACCCTCCCCACCCCAACCCAACCCCGCGCTCACCAGTGCCTTCCGGCAGGGCCAGGACGCCGTCGCCCTCCACCCAGCGGTAACAAGGGAACCTGAACTCGTCCCCGCTGTCCCCAGGGCCCCGCACGGAGATCCAGTTACAGAACCAGGCGTCATCCTGAAGGAGGCGCCGTTTGCGCAGCTTCACAAACAGCAGCTGCCCCAGGTACTCCTGCACGTCCACTTTGAATTCTGACTCCTACAGGCACAGAAGAGGCTCACGTCCGTGAAGCCTGCCGGAAGGCTTCCTCGGGCTTCCCCTGAACGCCCTTCCTCCGAGCCTCTGGGAAAGCGGCGCCAGGGGAGCCAGAAAGAGAAAGGGAGTGCGCCCATCACGCAGAATTCCTATGTGACAACCCTGTATATATACCCTTGAATTTTATTTTATTTTATTATTTTATTGATTGATTCATTCATTCATTTTTGAGTTGGAGTCTCACTCTGTCGCCCAGGCTGGAGTGCAGTGGCGACTCTGCTCACGGCCACTGCAGTCTCGACCTGCTGGGCTCAGGCGTGGGCTCAGGCGATCCTTCCACCGCAGCCTTCCAAGTAGCTGGAACTACAGACGCACGCCACCGCGCCCGGCTTTTTTTTTTTTTTTTTTTAGTAGCGATAAGGTCTCACCAAGTTGCCCAGGCTGGTCTCGAACCCCTGAGCTGAGACAATCCTCTCACCTCGGCCTCCCAAAGTGCTGGGATAACAGGCTTGAGCTACCGCGCCCGGGACCCTTGAATTTTAAAAAGTTTTTTTGATCTACAAAAAAAAAAAAAAAGCGGGGCGGGGGCGGGGAGAGAGAGGAAAGGAGTGCACGCCGAGCTGGTAGCCCCACGACCCCATTCCGAGGGACTGGAGGACCGGCGAAGAAGGAAAGGTGCGCTCCTTCCTCTCCTTTTTCCGCCACCGCGCCGCGCTCTGGGCGAGTGCACAGTGGAGCCGGGAGACGCTGCCGACAAGGCGGTCGCAGCGGCGAGACCCCCAGAGGCCGAGGGCCAGCGGGGCCTCTCCCGGCCGGGGCACAGGCTTCCGGGAGGACACCCGGTGTAAGCGGAGGCCTGGAGGTCTGGAGGGCTTAGCCAGGGCGAGTGAGGGAGGGGAAAGGCGGAGGGAGCGGAGGCGAAGGGAAGGCGAGCGGCGACGCGGTGCCGGAGCGCTAGACGAGGGGGGCTGATCTGGACCAGACCGCGAGGTTACGCCAAGGGCTTTGAACTCGGCCCTGGGAACACGCGGGGGCAGGGGGAATGTTATGGGGGGAAGGGGGGTGTACTGGGGAGAAATCGTTCTGGCTTCAGGAAGGCTAGGAAGGTCTTGGCGCAGAAGCAGCGGGTTCAAGGGGACGTTGGTGGTCGCGGGTGAGGCGACTTCAGGGCAGGATGCGGGAAATGCCTGGGAGGTAGAACTGGCTGCGCTCCATTCTTCTTTAGATGGAGGCGAACAGAGGGAGGAGGCGCGAGTGACACCCTGGGGAGACAGGAGGAGAGGTCTGGGAAGCGCGAAGAGAGGACCTCTTTCTTTGGGCATGTTCCTTTGTTTTGTTTTTGTTTTTGTTTTTCGAGTCGGAGTCTCACTCTGTCGCCCAGACTGGAGTGCAGTGGCCGCTCCCGGCCACCGCAGCCTCGCCTGCTGGGCTCCGGCGATCCTTCCGCTTCAGCCTTCCGAGTAGCTGGAACTACAGGCACGCGCTATCACGCCCGCCTTATTTTTTTGATTTGTTGTGGAGACGAGGTCTCACCAAGTTGCCCAGGCTGGTCTCGAACCCCTGAGTTCAGGCAATCCTCTCGCCTCGGTCTCCCAAATTAATGGGATGACAAGCTTGAGGCACCGCGCCCGGCATGGGGCACGTTCCTTTGAAGTTCCGAGGGACAGACATCGGGATCTGGGGATAAGAACTAGACAGGCGATGGGAATGTGGGGGCTGGCGGAAGAAAATCTGTAACAGGACTGGGTAGAACACCAGGTAGAAATGACGGAAGAGGGGAGGTGGTTGGGGAAATGGAGCGTGTTCTCCTGTCTTGGCTTCTTCCTCCCACCGTTCCTCCACCCCCACCCCCCATTCCAGCTCACCACCCACCTCACCCCAGGAGACAAAGCCCCCAAGGTCGGAGATCTAATAACGATAGAGAAGCTTTGAAATCGCTTTTAAGGGTGGAGAAAAGGAGAGAACCGACGGCCGCTCCTGGGATCGCGGAGTTTGGAGACAGGAGCGCTCTGGGGAATCAGAGGCGCAAGTCAAGGAGGCTGGGAACGGGACATTCACTGAGCACTTACTGTGCGCCCCCAATTGCCCTAAAGCGCTGTGGCCCCGCGATCTCCGTGCGTTCGCCCTCGCCGACGAGAAGGTGCCAGAGGCCGGCTAGGGTGTGTCCCTTCCCCGGCATTTGCCTGACTTAGGGCCAGGGGACCAACCCACTTCTCCGTCTCTGGAGAGCTTACCTTGCCCCGCGCCGGCCGCATTCGCATCCCGAGAGCCGCCTCGCCGTGCTGGCCAACCAGCCACAGCTGCACCTGGTTGTTGGAGCCCGCATAGAGCGAGGACCCGGTGGACACGCGGACGCGGTAGAGACCCATCTTGCCCAAGGACGTTTGGCGCTTTCTGAGGGGGACGGAAGGGTGAACGCGGCAAATAACAGAGCCCGAGACCCCGCCCTCTCGGAGGCCAAATGGGGTCGGAATGTGGGTGGCAGGTCTCCAACCAACCGCGCCTGGCTACCCCCAGCTCCACGCAGCCCTGAACTCAGCCGCAGTCCAAAAAGGCGGGGTCCGGGGAGGGCAGGGAGTGCAAACCATTTTCTGGGCGGGAAGGAGAAGCAGATGAGGATTTGGGCAGAAAACACGCAGGAGGAAGGACTCAACCTCTGGTACGACAGACAGATAGGGTGGGGGTGGGAGATATACGTGCGTGTGTGACGACACTGGGGCAAGCCTGGATGCTTGGGAAGCCCCCGTCTACATAAACACACACACACACACACACACACACACACACACACACACACACACGTTTGATTGCAGAAGTGGGCCAGGAGACCTAGTCCGGTGGCATTTGAGGAAGGTGCATTCGCGCCACCGAATTCACTCGACGAGCTGTGCACACTTGCCTTGCCTGCGCCAGGCTCTGGGACTCGTTTCTCTCGAGCGTAAAAGCCTCTGCTTTCCTGTTGCCTGCAGAATAAAAATCCCAAGTTTTTGGCACTGAAAGCCCTTAGTAACCTGGTCAGCTCTCCTCCCAACTCATTCCACTACACCCCATCATCTCCTGGAGCCATGTGTTCCCTAGAACCCGCGATGTTGTTCACCCGTAGAACCTGGCATAATTCTGTTCATTCTTTTTTTTTTTTTTTTCAGTTGGAGTCTCACTCTG